TGCTTCAATTGTTTCATGATCAATCAAAATTTGCTCTGGCCAAACATACCTGTGAGTTCCTTGGGAGCCACGCTGTCTTATCCCCATCTGAATTACATTTGCTGTCATGCATTTTTGAATGATGTGGCCTCACAACATGAATTGGTCCTCATACATATATGTATGTGGGGGCCTGAATGGAAGTGGTGCTGTCATTCATATATGTATGACATGGCAATCAATGTGTTGAAGGGGGCTTCTGAAAATTATATTTCCTAAATATTTCCGGAACGCCATGTGATAAAATAATGCAATTCCATAGGATAACTAAACAAGGTAGACATTTTAGATTTTAGTGTATCACTGAGGTTCAATTCCAGTTATTAAATATATAGTTTGAGATAAAAAATACCTGAATAATTCCCAGAAAACAAAACTGAATCAATGACTTATCTACTAATGACCCAGAAAATAATCCATCATCTTTGAGAGAATGAAACAAGTATGGACCACCATGCTTCTATTCGTTGATTATGTTGGCTGGTCCCCAATAAAAAAGGGGGCAATGCTTGTTGTTGGTTTCCATAGGAATCTATCAAATGTGTCTGAAAATCTTTCACAATCCCATTTTCAGTCCCTAGATCAGCTCTTATACTTTGTGGACAACCTTCTAAATCTTCAATTGCATCCAAAAAGTATCCTCCTATCACTCTAGGGTTGTTACTATTTGATCCAGCTCTGAGCCAGATAATTTTTCGAGAATATCCATCTATACATCCACTTATACATATGCCAAAAGGTTTCAATATTTATCATAACAGTCCATGTGCCAAAGGAAATTTGGGCCTTCATTCCGGTATTGTTTTCTACGGAGTCGTTTTCTACTGCGAAATTCAACACCAGTAGGGTCAAGTAGGTGGAGCAGCACACGAACAATTTCCTGAGTGACCAGTAATTCATGCTGAATACATCTCAAATGCATCCATCTATATCCGCGCGTTGTCCATGGGTTTTTATATTTCGTTGAATGAAATCTGCCACTTCTGCTATATCTGTGTAATTTCTTCTTCGAAACAAGTTCATTTTAAGTAACTTTCTTTGAAGTGTACGTCGACTGATATGAAATATTGTGATTTATCGCTAGACAGTTCAAAATTTCAGATTGGTGGAATCCTAAATGGAAGTAGACATTAATTAAGTCATTCATCCTAAATAGTAAATATTCGATCACAAGAGGAATAATAACTTTAGTATAGACTTAAATAAAATTTATAAGCCGCCTCACCAGCTCACCATGCCACCGGACTTGGATGGAAGGATGGAACATGGATGGAACTAATAGATCTTCACATTTCAATCTTCACCAAGGCGTTGAATCCATAATCCATTGTTGTTGGTTAGGGGTTATGTAGGCATTGTGTTCTTCTTCTTCTTAATCTTCTTTGTTTCTTGGCGATGGCGAGTTTCTTGGCCTATCTGTCAATTATGCTAGTTCTAGTTGTAATATAGATTCAATAAGGCATAATTCATGTATATTGTTATATGAATTGGTGTTTTGATTATGATTATTCTACCTAAGTAATGATACATGCAATGAGCAATGTCAGCAATCTCAAACATTCCGCAAGAACATTGCACTGACAAAAGTAGGTTTTTGTTAATATTGTAGTCACCGAACTTTCGTACTTTGATCGGACTAAAAGTGCTGATCGATATATTACAATAGATATTCATGTTGGATGGACTGGGAATAGTGGAAGAATGTATCATGTACTTGCGAACGTAACATCGGTGATCGGAATAAACAACTTTTCTGGTAACTGTGTCTATTTAATCTACCCGCAACAACCAACATTTCATGGCGATCCTGCCAGTCCAGTGAAAGTGAAATGAGTGTGACGAAATAAAAATAACATGTGTGGTTCAAAAGTTACAACCGAGGAAAGATTCCGAATTCAAGCTGTTGGTACGGGATCAGATAATGCAAGTTCCACCACACAAACTGACGGATTGATCATCCCAATCTTAGTCTTCATCTTCGTTGTCATCATTTACTTCATCTGGAAGAAAGTGCGAGAAGGTATGAAGAAATCAGTAGTACAACAAATTGAGCTGAGCGAACTTCGAAGATCACGTGATGGTCTTAATTCGAGAGTAGACAATTAGAACACCCCTGTGAGCAGCGCTTCATGAGTGACAAAACCATTTTGTACGAGTTGGAAGAAGCTGAAGCGCAAATAACAAGAATTGAAGAGAACCTCCGCAAGGATTCATATACGAGAAGCGAAACGAAGCAGCAACCCAGAGACGTTACCAGAGGTTATATAACTTAAGGTTAATAGTTAATAGGATTGTAGAGCAATTTAATAAAAGTAGCCCGACTAAACATGATATTGCTAAAGCACAACTATATATAAAAATAATTGGAGAGATAACTGCCAGAGTCAAGAATATTTTAGATGATAGATCTGAGTTACTTAGGAAATTAGGTGTTAGTAATACAGAAAGAACTAGTATTGATAATAGGTAGTAGGAGGATTAGTCAAATAGGGAATGAAAATACTGATACAGATACAGGGTTCACTTACAAAGGAATCATGAGTGGAGATAAATTTGATTTCAAAACAGCAGCTAACTTGCTACCAAAATTAAACTGCACAACTGAAGGCGTTTATCAATTAATAGAAGGTATAGACTTGTATGAACCAGCTCTAGATGCTGCAGGCAAAATAATGTTAATTAATTATGTTCTCAAAGCTTGTATTTCTCATAGAGATAAAATTAGAATGAAAAATACTTATATCACTAGCCAAAATTTAATAGAAGATTTGAAAAGGAACTTTTTACCAAAACAATCAGCTCCAACTCTTTCAGCCAAATTACAGAATTTAAAACAGGGTAATTTGAACATCGACGAATATGAAAGATTAATAAAAACATTATTGTCAGATCTTACTTTAGCTCAGGCAGGTAGTAACCAAAATTCCATTCAGATTTTCAAGGAACAAAACGAAAAGTTAGCCATTGACGTTTTTGCAAAAGGTATAAGAAATGTAGAGCTGCGCACTATAATAAAAGCTCGACACTTGTATCTGTCAAGTATACTACTTACCACTTAGTATCTGTCAAGTATGCTACTTACAACTTAGTATCTGTCAAGTTTACTACTTACCACTTAGTATCTGTCAAGCATGCTACTTACCACTTAGTATCTGTCAATTAGGCTAGTTGACAGTTAAGTATCTGTCAAGTATGCTACTTATCACTTAGTATCTGTCAAGTATGCTACTTATCATTTAGTATCTGTCAAGTATGCTACTTACCACTCAGTATCTGTCAATTAGGCTAGTTGACAGTTATATCTGTCAATTAAAAAAAAATCATGTGGCGCTTCTACGCTTTCGTAGAAATCAACTGAGGTTATGAATGTTGAATGTGGAGAGTGGAGTGAAAATTTATTACCTAGTACCTGTGCGTCAATATTATTAATTTAGTTAATAATTTTCACATCATGAACGAAGAGATGGCAATATTGGCCGCTATTGAAAACTTATAAAACATGGAGAATTGGAGAATGTGAGAGAAGTACACTACAACAGAAACTCTTTGAATAGAATGACTGACGTGCAATTGGTGAAATCTTTTCGATTAACGAAAAATTTAGTAAGAGAATTATTGGATGTTCTTGCTCCATATGTACCTGACAGACCGAGAGTAGGGCTAACACGAGAAGAGAAGGTAATTGTAATCATATTTCTTGATCAAAACCCATAAGTAGGTATTTTTTGTCAAAGGTCCTCATTGCATTGAGTTTCTTTGCCACTGGAAGCTACCAAACAAACGTAGGTGATAGTGAGCATCTTGGTGTATGTCAAGCATCAGTTAGCAGAGCTATACAAACCGTGACAGATGCTCTCAATAATCCAGAAATTTTCAATAGATATGTGAAATTTCCAAGAAATTCAAATGATTTGAATATTTTATGAAGACAGTATGTATTTACTATTCTAATTGTTATAAAGTTTCAATTTCCACAATTTTTTTTTCAAGATTTCATAATAAATATGGCATGCCTGGAATCTTGGCAGTGTGGATTGTACCCCCATTTCTATTGTACCACCAAAGACAGATGATCCAGTTCAACCTGAACACATTTCTGTCAACAGGAAACATTATCATTGCATTAACGTCCAGTTGGTAAGTTTTTGGGTGCAAGGTGATGATATTCATAATAGTGCATTTTCTCTTATTTATATCTGATTATATTTAAAATGGATCAAAATTTTAGATTTGTGATGTATCCATGAAAATCCTGCAGGTTAATGCCAGATGTCCTGGTAGTACCCATGATAGTCATATATGGAGGACTAGTAATGTGGAAGCTTTGTTGAGAAATATTTATGAGAGGAGACATAAAGGTTATTTCTTATTGGGTGAGTCAAAATCAAAATTGATTCAGATCATGAAGGCCACAATCAATTTTTTTTCATAGGAGAATCTGGATATCCCCTCAGGCCTTGGCTTTTGACACCTTTGGAGAATCCAGAGAATCAGCTATAGGTCAACTATAGAAAGGTGTAATGGACTTCTCAAGATGAGGTTTCGTTGTCTTCTGAAGCATAGAGTTCTACATTACAAACCAGAAAAATCTTCTAAAATAATTAATGTCTGTGTAATTTTACACAATATGTGTGTAGAAAATAACGTAGAACTGATATTAGGAGATGATGAGGAAAATGAAGTGGATTTAGGAATGGTTCCTGTCGATAACAATTTAGATATGCCTAACCAAAGAGCTGATCCAATGTTAGTAGCAGGCAGAAGAATGCAAAGAAAAATCATCAATTATTTTAGAAAGATTCCATAATTCATATATTATTATAATATGATTACTATCACATTAGAGTGCTTTATTATTGTGGGGAATAAATAGTTCCAATTTGATGGAAAACTTTATTATGAAAGTCTCAAAACTAAGTCAACAAAAGATACAATATAAATTCATATCATAACATTGGAATAATGTCCTAATTTATAGTGAGAATTATTTTGATTACTTTGAACTCTAGAATATATTTTCTGATACAGAAATGAACTAAATTATTGAATTTGTGTCAACTGCTTGCATTTTCAAATATAGCAAATGAATGTCACCATGTAAGAAATCAGAACGAAACATTCACTTTTTGAAACATTCAACCAACTTTTCTAGAGCTATAATTTGCCTCTCCATGAGAATTATTTTTTTATCATAATATTCTTTTTTATAGTGTAACTTTTCTTTTGCTAAGGATGTCAACTGCCTAGAAGCTATTAAACTCTCTTTGAACCTTTGTTTTTGAATAGGTATGCTTCTAGGTGTTTTCTCAGTAATTTTTTGTTCTTTTGCCTCACAATACTGATGATCAGATTTGGGAATATCGTTTCCTTGATTACAAATTGGTATTTGAACAAGTGCAGCATTTTCATCCACCAACTCAGATACATCAATATCTGGGATATCAACTTCTTGCTGGATGTCCTCGAAACTGAAGGTGATATCTGTTTCTAGAATATTCATGTTTCCTGTTATTTCAGTTGGATTTATCAAGGAAACAATCTTCTTCTCATTTTCATTCAGTGGGCACTTGGTGCTGGGTCCACCTCCTATGCCTCGTGTATATTTGGTCTGATCGACTTGCCTCTTTTTTGTCTTAGAACGAATGTCCTGCCATGTCTGAAAGTGTATTATTGAATTTAACATCTTATATATGTACTTGCTTATACATCGATCACAAACATATTATTCATTATCCACACAAATAATCCACTCAATATTACATACCTTTCTCCAGTGTTTCCAATCTTTATTACACCCTGGTATGGAGTTTAGGATGGAGGCAATCTCTTTCCATTTTTCTTGGGCTTCTTTGAAAGTAAAATTTCCAGTAAATTTCCCAGTTAGCAATACTGCATATTGCTGGGACTGCAACAGCTGAACTAATTCATTTTTTTGCTGTTGAGAGCAGTAAAGTGATGTTTCTTTATCCATTTTATTCGAGCATTTCCTTGTTCTTTATTTTTTTTAATCCAAATCAGCAGTCGTTAATCTATGAAATCAGGTTATGGAAAACGAAATTGAATGCTGATTGAAGAGGTGAACATCGAAAAAATTTGCGTTCTGTGCATGTGTTACGCTGTTGCCAAATCATTCCAATCGACAAATATTTTCGACTGTCTACCGTATCTCTACGGGTACTTGAGAATACGATTTACAAATATCACACGACAGTTGTACCCGACAAATTGTCGTGTGCGACAATTTTATTCGTCATTTGAGAATCGGCCCCCAGCTGATCATACTACTACTAAATAATGACAGCGAAATGTAAACACCATACCTGATGACAGCCTAAACAAAAATAGATCTTAAATCCAAAAGATGATTCCCTTAAATGAATCTGTTTGAAATAACAGTAAGTACAGAGTGTTCATTGATTATACCATACGTATACCTTATTGTTGAGTTCTCTTCTTTTAGGAGACTGTATACAGATGGTGGTGACTGCTAATTTACGAGTAAAGATAGCAGCAGATATAGAAATAAACAGACTCGAGTACTAGGAATCAAATTATGGTACCGAGGTCTAGGAAGGTATCTATGTAATTTATGTACAACAAGAGGATGATATGATACAGCTGTGCAGAAATTGACTTGGTATATCGAGAGACCCGATGTTAGAATTTTACCCAGTAATAGGCAATAACCGTTGAGGTTTTAAATCTTCGCAGAATCAGTGAATTAATTCATCAAAAATTAACGATAGCTAAAAATGAACGTTACAACATGATGAACTAACGTTTTTATATCAAAATTACTGAGAACAAAATCAACCAATGTAGCGCTAGTATTAGTAATTCTTGAAGATTCCTGTACACATTGGTTAATTGGTTAATTCATTACTCTCGAACCAAGATCCGAAACTTGCATAAAAGTTGACATTGAAAACCCACAAATATCAATAGGAACATCTCCTGAAATTCAACTCTCTCAAGGAGTATTTTTGGCCAAAGCAATTTTGAAAGTAGATTCTAACGGAAATGCGATAACTACAATTGTGAACACTAATGACGAAAAAGTTTCTATAAACAACGTAGGTTTGACATTAGAACCATTTTCAGAAAAAAAAATTCTTTTGTGTTTTGCACAAACAATTCGGAAATAAACCATCAAGAATTCAACAAAAAACGAATGCAAATTTTACATGCAAATTTGAGACTCGACCATTTAAATGATGAAGAAGAAAAATCAGTTTGGAGAATTTGTCAAAGGTTCAATAATATTTTTTACCAACCAGAAGCAGGAGACCAACTCACTTGCACAGACGTGATCTCACATGAAATTAATACCACCACTCCACAACCAATCGCATCAAAGTTATATTGGTTTCCAAAAATTCACGAAACCGAAGTCGATACACAAATCAATAAAATGTTGAAACAAAAACTAATCAAACCTTCTGTTTCTCCTTACAACGCCCCTCTATGGGTTGTTCCAAAAAAAATTGATTCTTCGGGTAAAATCTAATGGAGAATTGTTGTACATTATAGACGTCTGAATGATGTTACAATTGGTGGAAAATTTCCACTGCCTAGAATTGATGAAATCCTAGATCAGCCAGGTCATGCTTGTTACTTTTCTACACTAGCCTTCTCAAGACAGACAGGACATTACGAATTCCTACGAATGCCATTCGGAGTCAAGAATGGTCCTGTTTGTTTCCAGAGATTAATGTCCATAGTTTTCACAGGCTTACAAAATAGTCATTTTTCCATATATCTAGATGACATAATAGTTTATGCATCATCAGTACAAGAACATGAAGTAAAAATAAGAGCAATAGAACAAACTGAAACTCCAACCGGACAAATGTGAATTTCTACGAAAAGAAATCACATATTTAGGTCATGTTTTATCCCAGCACGGTGTAAAACCAGACGAACAAAAAATTGTTGCAGTCAGTAACTTCCCAACACCCAAAACTATTAAGTACATAAAACAATTTCTAAGACTCGCCGGGTACTACCGAAAGTTCATACCAAACTTTGCTCGAATCGCAAAACCATCAACATCACTATTAAAAAAGGACTCAGGTTTTACTTGGGGTGATTCACAACAATCCGCATTCAATGAATTGAGAACAATTTTGACCAAAGAACCCATTTTACAGTTTCCAAATTTCGAAAAAGTATTCATTTTGACAACCGATGCTTCAAATTTCGCTATAGGCGCTGTCTTGTCTCAAGGCGAAATAAACAGTGATTTACCAATAGCGTATGCATCGCGAACACTAAATCAACACGAGATCAACTATTCGGCAACAGAAAAAGAACTTCTCGCTATAGTTTGGTCGATTAAACATTTCAGAGCATATCTTTTAGGCCGTCACTTCAAAATTGTGACTGATTGTCGTCCATTGACATGGCTATTCAATTGCAAAGACCCATCATCGCGACTAGTACGTTGGCGTCTTCAGCTAGAAGATTATTCGTACGAAATAATTTACAAGCCTGGTAAAATAAATTCAAATGCAGACGCACTTTAGCGCAACCCTGTATTATGTATAGACACATCAAAGAATTTCGAGGCTTTCATCAAATTTCATTACATAAATAACAAGGTACATGATATACCCATAATTAAAGAAAACATTTTCTTGCAAACGTCGAACGTTTTACTAATTTCAAAAGATTTCAGCGAAGAAAATAAATATTTCAGTAATATAAGCCAACAGTACGATATGAACAAGATGAATTCAGACGAACTCTCTCTTCATGACATCATCGTATTGAATAACAAAGACAAGAGAACATATATCATGGTTACTCATTTGAATTATTTTGATACACCAAGTACGAAAGATATATTTTATGCTTTACTCAACTTATACGCGGACATTAGAAGAGCGAATGAAACAAAATTACTTATGAAAGATCTTCGTTTTTACAATCCCAATATGAGACTGAGTGTCATGCAAAACATGATATACTACATTTTTGAAGATCAGTTAGATATTAATTTTGTAGATTCAGAAAAAATAACACTGAAAACAAAAGATGACATAGCAAAGATTATTTTTGAAAATCATTCTACATCCATTGCTGGTCATCCAGGGTTTAGTAAAACATATAAAAGAATAAAAGAAAATTACAAATGGTCCTACATGAAAAGTGATATCGAAACCTTTATAAAGAAATGTGAAAGTTGTCAGCAAAATAAAGTAAACAGACATCCAATGAAAGCTCCAATGCAAATTACTTCTACTTCCACCCAGAGCTTCAAAAAAGTATTTCTAGACGTGGTAGGTCCCCTCCCGCTAACTGAGAATGCGAATAGATTCATTTTAACTCTACAGGATGACTTAACAAAATTTTCTTATGGATATCCGATTCCAAATCATAAAGCAGAAACAATTGCGAACAAATTCACTGAATTTATTTTGATATTTGGAATACCGAAATCAATTGTAACAGATAACGGTACAGAATTCACCTCAAATTTACTTAAAGAAGTTAATAGAATATTCAAGATAAAACACATTACTACTTCCTCGTATAGACCTCAAAGTAATGGTGCTCTAGAGAGAACACATAGTACATTGAAAGACTATTTAAAACATTTCATTGATAAAAATCAAACAAATTGGAACGAATTCATTCAAACTGCCATGTTCGCATTTAATACACAAATCCATTCATTTCACACCATACGAACTAGTATTCGGAAACAAAGCAAGTTTACCAAATAAAATTGAATAAATCCTTCCAACTAGCCCGAGACAATATAATCAAATCAAAGAATCAATCAAAAAAATATTACGATCGAAAGTTGAACGATCACGAATTCAAAATTGGTGATTCAGTATATTTGATTGATAAGGGTACAAAAATAGGTGTGAACAAGGAACTGTCGCCAAACTTCAAAGGACCCTATAAAATAGTATAAGTTAATTCAAACAACACAGTTGTTTTGGAAATAAAAAATAAAGATTGTATGTATCACAAGGAATGATGGAAACCGTACATTGTTTCAGATGAGAAACGTGACAACGACCCTGATGATACTGACCTTCTTAAGGTCGCTAGCAATAGTACGCAGCGAGGAATTATCGTATCAGATGACGAAGATTGATGAAAAAGGCGGGCTGTTTTACAAAGACCTAGGCACTGCAAAATTATTCAACGATTATTTCACATTATTTACCTTCACCAATATTTCCTTCTATATAGAAAAATTGTCATTTTTGCAAAACGTTTACAAAAAATGTTTGAATTTATGACAATACGCAGAACATTCAAACACGCATCACTTTCATTGCGCGGAATCACTAAATCTATTCGGAATCCAAATTCCAAATTTAGAAAAAAAGTTAGGAACCCAAACTCACCTTGTTGGTCATAACTTTGTAAATATTTGAAATTTTAGGTGAAGAGAATCATCCAGAAGACACTAAGAAATATCAACAGCCTAGTTGTTCATATTTCGACCCAAATATGGACCTTATAATTGAGAATATACCATGCTCCTCTGGTATTGTAAATCAAAATAAAAATGTGATGAACGCAAAAAAAATCTTTGGAACCAATACGAATCAAACCAATGAAGAATCGTTTGATTGCCAACAACCAGATGTAACACCCCATTCAGATACTGAAGATGAAGAGTCCGATATTGAACCGCTGTATCATAAGAGGAACAAATTGATTACAGCCAAGGGACAAAACTCTAAATAGAGAAAAAAATTGTGAAACTATCGAAGATCTCCAATCACAGAAAATAAGAAAAAGGTGCACACCTGATGAAACGAATCCCGGTGAAAAAGGGAAAAAAACCAGCAGGTTATATTCATGAGTTCCTTAGAAATTCAGGCAAAGAATATAAAGACGTGAAAGGAAAGATAGTGAAGATGATAGAAACGAGAGAGCCTTGCACTGAGAGGTGCCGATTGAATTGTTCCACTAATGTCAGTGCTATACAAAGGAAAGCAATTT